AAGTAATACCGGCTACAATACACTCTAAACCTTACGTACTCATAATAAAGGCGCTATTCGTTGCGTAACGAGATGAATGTGATTTACGGCAACGTGTGTTGTTCACACTTTTCATTCTGCATAAAGTCCGACTTATACTGTTAGCGATAAACATAGGAAGCGACTGTTATTTTTTGTCATATTCTAATGTAACGTTAGAAATCTAATTATTTGAAATGTTCTTAATGAAAAATGCTTAGAATCCATTTGATCTCTGGCGCCCTGAGATGGGCTTCGAACCCATTACCTTACGCAATCCGGGCGACTGCTCTAACCACTAAGTTACCTATGGCCTAACAGGACTGATGGACCTTCCAAGCACTTGTTTCTTCTTTTGTAACTATTCAGGCAGTCAATGTTCAGGTAATCCACCCAAACAAACAGCCAAAAGAAAATCTGTCATGTTACCCGAGTTATATATATGGCAGGTACATTATTAACTATATCAAAAAGTTATTTTAAGAATACTGATAATTAGAAACGTTCGCCTCACTTGACCACGAAGGTCAACGCAGAAATTAAATTTTGATAATTTTTATTTTATTGAATTTGTAACATCTCAAACTCGGACCAAGGCTATCTTTTAATTTGGAGCCGGTTAAAATATCCTTGGAGCCCTATGTTACATCCATAGTGTCTATATGTCTCATTAACAAGGCCGTTGATTTTGTCTCATTTTCTGTTACACGTAGTCTTAATAGTATGATTTATAAGCATGCTATTTTATAGCGCTGTCTGTCACTGTAACAACGGCTTTAATCGGACTCCGAGCACGACCTCGTTACGTGCCTGTATCCCGCCCTACCAAGGACAGATCACACAACATTTACATGGGAAATTGTAAACCGACAGGGATGAAGGTCGATACCTTCTCATCGACATAAATCCGAAAAGGGTCTAGAGTCTAGGAGATTGACGGGACGCGACATAAACTTGATCATTTTGACATTATATCTTCAAGAGTTTTTATCAGAAATAATGTCGACGTCTGCCGGCCCACACCTAAATATGTAATGGTTTTCTCAGATCCGGGTCTGAGCAGTGCACGTGTTCTTACCCATTGCTTAGTTATTTTAATTGTTAGATACTATTGACTACATATAATATTTATGTGTTTTTAAACATAAAGCATTTTATGAAATTACTTTGTTGTTCTTTTCATTATTGGAAGTCATAATATAGATATATATAATGACATTGATAAAAAAATTAACGCTCAGATAATAAATGTCAAAATTTTAGTTTATTTTCAAGTTTGTAAGCAGTTTTTATCATCTAATTTCTCTATTTGTACAACTATTAAGAAGTTTACGTTTCGATTTTGGAATCAATGTGGATATATACAAAATACGAGGGTCAAACTGAAAGTTCTTAGAAAATCAAAAACTGATTACATTAGCCAGTTATTAGTTTTATTATATCTTTTCAAAATATTGTCCATTCACGTCAATACACCGCTGCATGCGATGGAACCACTGGGAAAAGCACTTTGCCCACTCGTCCTTAGGGGTCTCTTCAATGGCATCGCGATACGCAGCCACCGCTTCTTCAGCATTCATAAACCGCTTTCCTTTAAGTTTTTCTTTAATTTTTGGAAATAAATAAAAATCACAAGGCGCGAGGTCGGGGCTATACGGCGGGTGACCCAGTAATTCAACGTTTGATGTCGCCAAATAGTCGATCGTTCGCTTGGCGGTGTGCGACGAGGCGTTGTCGTGGTGAAGGAGGATCCTACTGCGAGGTCGTTTCTCTCGAACTTTTTCCAAGACAAGTGGCAAACAATTGGTAGTGTACCATTCTGCAGAAACTGTTTTTTGATCCTCTAACACAATTGTTGCAAAATGACCTATCCTTCCAAAGAACGAGGCCACCATTTTTTTTCCCGCACTTCGTTCTCTCTTCACTTTAGTTGGCAACTCCTCGAAAGGAAACACCCACTGAGCAGATTGTCTTTTGGTTTTAGGATCATAACAGTAAATCCAGCTTTCGTCACCTGTTAGTATGTCGAACACTGCATTTGAGTCACCTCCGTTAAATCTTTCAATCATTTTACGACACCAATCCACACGATGGAGTTTTTGAGAATCAGTCAAATTATGAGGTATCCACCGGGCGCAAAGCTTCCTGACCGCTAAATGTTCGTGGAGGATTTTGTGCACTTGACTCATACCGATGCCTAAGCTTGTCCGAATCTGTTGATAGGTCACTCTTTTGTCAGTCTCTATCATACGCCGCACAACACAGATGTTATCTTCAGTCGTCGCCGTAGAAGGCCGTCCCTCACGTAAATCATCAGTGAGATTAGTGCGACCACGTTTAAACTCATTAAACCAGTTGTAAACAGTTGCACGAGATGGGGCTTCATCGTGAAAGGTCAATCGTAGTCTATCATAACTTTCTTGTTGACTTAAATGACATCGAAAGTCATAAAAAATCATTGCACGAAAATTTTCTCGTGTTAAATTCATGATGACGTGACACAGACAATTTTCAATTTGCCGCCAAATCGTAAAACAAATGACAAATGAATGAAATATATACTCAGTAATATTGGCAAAGAGTTATATTTTCAAATTTTAGAATTATTTTTTTATTATATTGTTTATAAGTGGCCAGTTCTAAGAACTTTCAGTTTGACCCTCGTATGATTTTTCCACTTAGTATTATAATATTATTATTTAAGCTGGCTTTCAATATTCTCAGGAGTTTAGTTTAGTTGTTTGTTTTCCAGTTAAATTTGCAAATAGTTTAGACACGCTAACATTAAATAGCAATTTTTAATGCTTTGGTGTTATCTACAATAGGTGATCTGGTCACCATATTACAATGTGCATAATAAATAGGAATCTAAACGATTTTTTTTTGCACTTGACTTATCAATGTGGGTTGATAAATCGTTAACTATTATACAATTCACGGTTAATGCACTTCAAATTCTTGACGTTAGAATGCCGACGTAAGATAACTGATAGTCTTTTTTTAATATAAAATTTTAAAAAGCTACATTGGTTGCCCTGATTAATTACGTCAAATAAACCTCAATGTACGGTACAAAATTAGTCGATCTTCAAGATACCGACCGTTTTGCATAAACGATTCAGAACTAATTTAGGTCACCTCCCGACAATCAACAGAATACAAATTCATTCTAATTAATTTTTACATTCGTTAAATCATGTCAATGATATTGTCAAGTCATACTCATAACATAGGTTTAAGAATATTTTGTATAATAATTTCAGTTCTAAACTTCAGTCTTTGATATCACGGCTGATTGTACAAACTAACTCTGTAATTGTATCTGTGCAGTCTGATATGCCTTTAAATTTCTTTTATTTTTTGTTGCTTTTTAACATCTACTTAGTTCTTAATATCTTACAGGTGTAAAATAGTTTTCGAACTAAACATCATCTAAAATATTATGTTTATTTGCTACAGGTACTTGCTCTTTGGAAGCTCCAATAATACTTTGTGCTAATTTTCTTCTTAAAATTTTATGAATAAAATATTCTTCGCTCGTTCAGGAGTGTTGCATCCAATATATGTATATATGTTTTATTTGCAGAAATACCTCCAGCCGTTGAAAAGTCCTGAAAATGCCGGCCTCTTGGACTCGTTCCTGGTGGATGAGATTTTCTACCAGGTGCCCGCCATCTTGGCGCTGCACCAGACCTTCCTGGAGCAGCTTCGTCGCCGTCTGGAGCAATGGGACCTGCAGCAGAAGGTTGGAGATGTATTCCTAGAAGTGGTGAGTTTTTTTTAATTATATGTTTTCCTTAAATGAAATAACTTAAAATGGTTTCAGCGCGTTTTTATAGGGTAAAACCACCAGCTAAAAAACAACAAACAAATAAACAAACAACCTTAATACAAACAACATTATTTCGGTTGTATCGATTAAACATATAGTAGTAACCACCCGCCAGTCTGTACTGGGCCGGTGTATTACGTATATTCCTATGTGATGCTATGTAAAGTCTGTACTTCAGCAGTGTAGATAAAATGAAAATGTCTTTATTCAAGTAAGCTTATTACAAGCACTTTTGAGTCGTCCAAAAAATTTTTTTCCCCTACCACTTGTTCAGGACGTCTTTTAGCTGACGAGAAAAACAAGAGAAATAATCTTACCAGCTCTTTATCATAAGTAATGAATTTTAAATTTATTTACGGGTAGGTACATTACATTTTGTGGAACTTTTTTGAACATATCAATGCATTTACTCAGAAATGATCCTCTGGTTTTCTGAAGTCTGAAGCTTGGAACGGCAAGTTTATTTTTATTTCGTGTGTTAAGATTATGAACACTACTTTTTTTTTGTGAAGGAATCGTAATGTTTTCTTGCGTACATAATATTTTCATAGATGTATTGAGAGGCAACAGTCAAAATATTTATTTCTTTAAATATTTTTATCTGAGAGATTCCCAGAACCGTTAATTACATTTTATATATAACGATATTTATTGGAACTGTTATCATCATCATCATCATCATCATCACTAGCCCTTTTTACGTCCCCACTGAAGGGGCTCAGGCCTTCCTAATGGATGGTTAAGGAGGATGGGCCATGACCCTCCACGCTGGCCCAATGCGGATTGGAGGGTATTAACGACTGCAAATGCAGCCGGGACAAACGGCTTAACGTGCCTTCCGAAGCACGGAGTAGCTCGAGATAATAATTTTTTGGTCACCTATCCCGTGACCGACCCTAGCAAAAGTTGCTTAACGACTACGATCGCGGGCCGCGGCGCTTATCCACTACGCCACCGGAACTGTTATACATAGAATTTATAGGCAATCTGTAGATTGCCTATAAATTCACAGTTAACACACTGGTGTTTGTCCATTAGATGTCAGGCGTGGTCTTTCAATAGAAAGTTTTTATGCATCGGTTGATTTATTATGGTAATTGTCGATATCGATTTAACGTTGTGTGTCCTCGTGTTTCAGTTCACGAAACCTATGGTGATGGACACCTACATGTCGTTCATAAATAACTTGCGCCGGGCGCGGGAGACCATCAAGGCGGCTGCGAGTTCGCGGCCAGCGTTCGCCCGCTTCCTAGAGGCGATGGCGCGGGATCACAAGGGAAAACTCTCCTTAGACAACTTACTCATTAAGCCTGTACAGAAGTTTCCCAGCTACAAACTGCTTATACAGAGGCTTATTAAACATACGGGTAAGTTATTCAAGTTTAATCAAGAGTATTTTCCCTGTTGATGGTATCATGATGGCATGTCGGAGTTTTATATTAATCTTGATATGTGTTACAGATCAATCTCACCCAGATCATAAGCTCCTTCTTGAAGCTCAGAAAGAAATTCACGAATTATTAGAACTGATCAACTGCACGGAGCGAGAGAGCGTGGAGTTGGAGGCGCAGCAGGCGGCATTACGAGACCTGGAGGCGTTAGTGGAAGGTCTGAGTGGGTTCGCGCAGGCGGATCGCACTTTCATACGATACGAACCCGTCACTATGCCCGCGGCCTCGCAGGGGCCCAACGTGCTCAAGGATAGAGCGCTGTTCCTGTTCAGTGATACGCTGCTCATAACGAGTGTGAAGAGAAGGACGGGAACTATCAAGAAACCCATTCCGTGAGTTCACGATATTGACTCCTTAGGTGATGTTATAAAAATAGAAGATTGTATCGAGACGGGTGATTTGTGTATTGTTCATCGATATTTTTTTTGTTATTTTAGAACATACCAAAGTAATATAGCGAGTCTGATGGAGGGCACCAAGCATAAACTTTTGATGAGGATACCCCTCGCTGATCTCGAAATAGTGAAGGGTGAGTTTTAGATTTAAATCAGATATATAAAAAGAATAAATTAAAAATAAAAATCTAGATTTCCATGAACTTTCTCTATATGTGGAAGTCGTTTTTATGTTTTATGATAATTTGATTTTAAACCGGGAGACGAATCTTCGTCAACATTAATTTGGCATTTCCAGCAAAAGACGAGAATCTGAGGCGCGTGATGCAGGAAGTGGAGACGCTGACGCAGGACGTGGCGACGCTGACGCGCATCTCGGAGCAGGTGGCGGCGCTGCACGCCCCGCACGCCGCGCTGGAGGAGGCCGTGCGCGACTTGCTCGCCGCCGCCGCGCGCCAGCTCGCCGACAGGCACGCCAGCGACACGCAGCTCTGCTGCATGGAGCTCAGCGTCGGCACCGCGTCAGTACTCATTTACTCACTCACTCTTTCTCACCCACTCACTCAGTCACCCACTCACTCAGTGTGAGTGGGTACACTCCGCACGCCGCGCTCGCGTTTTAAGTTCGGAAGAATCGTCTTAATTATGTCGCTCCTAAAAATTATAAATATTTTTATATTTCTTTTCTTTCGCAGGAATGGACCAGAAAATTTGACGATTATATTTCAAAAACCGGAAAAGAGAAGCAGCTGGGAGGAGTTGATAAACGAAACGAAACAAAAATTATGTGAGTATTCGTTAATTGAACCTATCAGAGGTGTACGATTTAAATCTAGTTCATAAGTTTTGAGACAAATTTTTACTGAAAAAATAAAATGTTACTGACTTATTTTTTTACCGGTTTTTAATTTGGAATATCAACTTATACTTTATTTGTAACGCAAATTCATAGGTTATATTTTCTCGTAATGGACGAAATCATTTCGCTATTTAAGGCGGTAAATTATAGGTTATTCTTTATGGACTGAATTAGAACTGCCAAAAGTCTCATCCAAACTTGGAGTTACTGAAGTGAATCCTTGTTCGAGAGGCAAAGAGAATTCCGCTAGAAAAAAATCGTGACAGTGATGCTTGACACATCTAGCATACCTAGTGCAAACTATGAATATTAAAACTCCATCTGCGTATTTATATGTTTTTTTCTAGTAAATGGCTAGAAAAAAACATATAAATGCCCGGGGCGATGGGGGATGTAGTATCGTTAATGCCTCGGAGATAAGTATCGGTTATATATAATCGCGTAGTTTAAGCCCCTTCGCGTCGGTAAATAATTATTATGATATGCTATAGTCTAATCGCCCGGCAGAGAGAATCTCGTACATCAAGCTGGGTGAAAGAAAGAAATATTTACCTCATTTAAAAGCAAATAAATTATAATTACTATACTCTTTTATATATGATTTTTTTATGTTCGGGGACCGGACTGAAGAATCTAGATTTAGAAATATAAAGATTTGGAATAGCATTAAAATAAGATCGGTACAGGCGTGCTGGGCGGGGAGCGCCCGGCGCCGGAGTTCCTGTCGCCGGTGCCGATCCGCAAGACGCGCGCGGGGCTGCAGTTCACCTGCGCCGCGCCCACCACGCCGCCGCCCGGCGCGCCGCCGGACGTCTGGGTAACTAGCGGCTCTTGATTCTGACTCTGACCCACTATAGCACTATCACGAGACGAGCGCAGCCTGCAGTTCACCTGCGCCGCGCCCACCACGCCGCCGCCCGGCGCGCCGCCGGACGTCTGGGTAACTAGCGGCTCTTGATTCTGACTCTGACCCACTATAGCACTATCACGAGACGAGCGCAGCCTGCAGTTCACCTGCGCCGCGCCCACCACGCCGCCGCCCGGCGCGCCGCCGGACGTCTGGGTAACTAGCGGCTCTTGATTCTGACTCTGACCCACTATAGCACTATCACGAGACGAGCGCAGCCTGCAGTTCACCTGCGCCGCGCCCACCACGCCGCCGCCCGGCGCGCCGCCGGACGTCTGGGTAACTAGCGGCTCTTGATTCTGACTCTGACCCACTATAGCACTATCACGAGACGAGCGCAGCCTGCAGTTCACCTGCGCCGCGCCCACCACGCCGCCGCCCGGCGCGCCGCCGGACGTCTGGGTAACTAGCGGCTCTTGATTCTGACTCTGACCCACTATAGCACTATCACCAGACGAGCGCAGCCTGCAGTTCACCTGCGCCGCGCCCACCACGCCGCCGCCCGGCGCGCCGCCGGACGTCTGGGTAACTAGCGGCTCTTGATTCTGACTCTGACCCACTATAGCACTATCACGAGACGAGCGCAGCCTGCAGTTCACCTGCGCCGCGCCCACCACGCCGCCGCCCGGCGCGCCGCCGGACGTCTGGGTAACTAGCGGCTCTTGATTCTGACTCTGACCCACTATAGCACTATCACGAGACGAGCGCAGCCTGCAGTTCACCTGCGCCGCGCCCACCACGCCGCCGCCCGGCGCGCCGCCGGACGTCTGGGTAACTAGCGGCTCTTGATTCTGACTCTGACCCACTATAGCACTATCACGAGACGAGCGCAGCCTGCAGTTCACCTGCGCCGCGCCCACCACGCCGCCGCCCGGCGCGCCGCCGGACGTCTGGGTAACTAGCGGCTCCTGACTCTGACCCGCTCCACAGGAGCCTGGACAGACCTGACTAGTCGCCGATGCGATTACACCCCACCGTTCGACGAACGTTCGAGTCGATTTAGGTGAACAGATAGGGAGCAGGTCGCCTTCGAAGTACTGTCCTGGATCGTCTATGCCTCCGAAGGAGGAGAGTTTGCGACGACAGGTCCGGATAATTAGGTAGGTATTAAAAAATTAGGAAGGAGTCAAAAAAGCGGCTTTAAAGAAACAGTCGACGAGGGGGAACCCGAACTTTCCCGAGATCCAGCCCGTGTGTCGCAAGGTAAAGGTGATCGGAAATCAAAGAGATCATTTGCCGACGTAGACTTGCTGGATGGAAAAGGGACGGAGAGTGATCGTTTACGTATCGATTGATATGTGTGGGCGTGTGTGGTGCGCAGGTGTGCAACAGCGACGGGTACGTGGGGCAGGTGTGCGTGCTGTCGCTGTGCCCGCGGCCGCAGGTGTCGTCGTGCAACGGCGTCTGCAACGCGCGCATCCTGTGCGTCGCCTGCGTGCCGCCGCTGCCGCCCACGACCAACGCGTACGCATCACACACACACTTCTGTTCCTGTCGCTATTTCACCCGACATAACACTTGGGACATACTCATACTTACATAACCGATGGCCTCCCCATACATAAGAGAGAAAGTGTGTTATTATCACTGTTCAATGTGATTAGACATACTTTTTGATCTTGCAAGATTTGTCAATCTTACAGGTGTTCTGACTTGTACATTTGTATTACATATTATCATCCTCAGCTTTGACTGATACTACAGACGCTAAATTTTGTATAAAACATAACTTGTACTAAATATTCTTTAAAAAATATATTTAATTTCTCATACACTTTTAATATATATTTCTACTTATTTCTTACTCTAAAATATTAAAAGAATAATATTTTTAGGTCAAGTTCCAGTTCCTCAAACAATTCTAGTTCAACCAAACCCGGCATCAGTATATCGGATCCCAACGACAGCTGTAAAAATATCCGACTAGACAGGTATCTATATTAACATAATACACAGACAGGTCTGCAACTTTAGAATTATGCTTTGCAAAAACTAGACATCTATCGAAGTGATGAGTACGAACCTATAAATTTTCTGACTTCTTCATTAAACTAAAAGTATCGGTCAAATGTATTGAAATCAATCGGAATAAATGATAATTCACAGTTGAAGAACATCTGGAGAGTACGGCAGATGGGTAGGACTCTACCATTAACGTTTCTAAGTATCCCCTGGCCACTGTTGCATTGAGGGGTCAAACATTATCGTAATGTAAAATCACTTCATCATAACCCTCGGTGTATTGCGATCGTTAGTAGTTCAATGCTCGGCTCAGATGCTAGTGGACATTCTGATGTTCAACGCAAGTTCATTCCACAGCAGAATCGATTTAACGAACAACGAAGAGTGGATGGTATCGGAGTGGTGGGACACATGGCCCGCCGATTTGCGGAGGATGGAAGGTTTTTAGTATGAGTGGTACATAAGTAGTGAAAATGAGACGTGAGATAAGCATTTGAAGAGTTTAGTTAAGAAAACAAAGAAGTGAGAACTCGCATACTTCTACGCTGCCGAATGGTCATCCATTTTATTATTATTAAAAATTTTATTTAGACCATATTTAGACGTGAAAATCACCGCCATGAAAGCGTTACAACTACTCATTACAATAACATTTTTTAACTAATAACGATCTCACCACAGGCATTTGAGAACGTTAGACGTTTCATCATATCGAAGCAGGAAAGTGAAACTTCTATTATCGTCTAATCTAGCTATTAGGTTATGTCAATACACGCCGAAGGTGATGATCGAACGATGTTTACGGTCTATTTAGTTCGATAAATAAAGCCATCTACAGAGAAACTGCGGGAAAAAACTTGTATACACCTACTATTTATTTGTCATGAGCATATTTATAATTTATCAGTCTCTTTTCGAATAGATTCAGGCGTCACCTAACACAGGTTTACTGTAACGAGTCCCAGAATTCTACAATGATGTTAGGTAACTTTCTAACTCGGTCTGCTGCTATTCGAGCTGTGAGCGCATAATTTTTTTTGTAGCTACTTAACGAGTACAAAAGTCACAAAATGTCGTGGTTTCGGTCGGTCTATTTTAAGACTTCGAAGCGTGATGATCTCTCTCATTACAGCTCTTCTTCGAGCGACGACGAAGATGAAGGTTCGTCGGCGAGTTCGAGCGCGGAACCTGATAGGAGGGGCGAGGAGAAGCGGGCGGAGGGCGCGCGCGCGGGGTCGGGTGCGGGGCCGGGGGCGGCGGGGGCGCTGACCCCCGCGCACGCCAAGAGCCTGAGCGCACCCGCTCCGCCTCCGCCGCTGCACCCCGTCACCAAGTCCAGTTCCAACCCCGCCGTCGATAAGCACATGGGCATCGCTACCGGTACTGAACGATATGATATATATTTTTTGATGATTACGTTGATTCGTTATACTATAACAGTATGCACTTATAATTATACTATAACAGTATGTATTATAATTATTTGTTACTAAATAAGATCACTGGTAAGAGAAGGTCCGAAGCGTCGTTATAAGAAAAGTTAAAATATTTATCCCCGTCACTTAAGTATCTAATTTTACCCAAGAATGTTTAGGTACCAATACGTATACACCTTGTAAATCTGAAATTATTTTACCTCCACGCTTCGCAGTACATGGACGCAGTATATTCGGTAAATTTTTAATTATTATTACACGTGCGGTCATCGAGCATACATTCATCCGCTTTCACTCATACATAACATAACCACGCACGCAGTTCACCGCCTCGATCGTGAATTTGACTTCGATTGAGATCACTTCCTTTAGGACTATACTAAAGACTTTGAAGGCATTGCACTGACATGACTGATAAAGTATTATTTTTACTGCTGGCAGCACTAGTTGTTGATTTCACTACGGGCATTTCTATCTGTCAGTTAGCTATCACTGGCACTTTGAGGTTTGGTTACGTACTCCAATATAAAACTAGTGGACTTTTCTATTCCTTACGAATCAATAACGATTTTCGTATAAAGTAACATAGCAACGCACTCCACATGCCACCCTAAAATCGGTCTCATCAGAAATTTGGATTAACAATATTTTGTTTTTTTATATCATAACCATAGTAGTTATTTTGATTGGTCTACTACGTGCAAGCATTCGTCGGCTGAACGATAGATCACTCTAAAATGCTACTAGGATCCGAACTCCAGAGATATCAGAACAGGTTCAAACTCATTCGAATATCTTTCGAAGACATTATAACATGTGGTAGTCGACTATGCCTCGTCTGATAAACAGGCACCTTGTCGTCGCCCGCGAGCCGGCAGTCGTCGGAGGACGCGAGCGGGGTGGGGGCGGGAGCGGGGACGGGGGCGGGGGCGGGGGCCAGCATGTGGCTGGGCACGGAGGATGGCTGCATCCACGTGTACAGCTGCCTCGACAGCATCCGCCTCAAGAAGAACAAGCTCAAGATGCAGCACACCGCGCCCGTGCACTCCATCGTGTCGGTACCATTGTCATATATCTAACGTTCAAAGTTAGCGCTATGAACGAGTACTAGAATAGAATTACATTATTATCAAACATACGATTTCCCACAGAGACAATGACGTCATAACTCTACATAACTGTGACGTCAATTTTCAGTGATCACTATCAGATGGTGAACGAAGCGAAGGCGCTATAATTTTTACTCATGCGGTGCGGTGATCAGGACGTAGGTAATGTCGCCTATTCTGAAGAGCGCACCCGCGATCCTGACGTCGGAGTCGAGGAATATATAACATCTCAACGTGTTAAATATTCGACAAAGGAAAGAAGAAAATATGATAATAATGATTATTCTGCGTTGCAGGTACGTGGAGGGGAAAGTGTTCGTCGCGCTCGGAAATGGCGACCTCGTAGTCTACTGCAGAGACAGCGGTGAGAAAAGTTGGATGCTATTTACTATATCTTTTTGGTGTTTTGAAAATGGATTGATTTATTATATTAATCAATGATATAATATGTCGGGGAAAAAGTTTCTTTGCATTTATACTTATGAAAATTAAAAAAATAAAAATTATCAAGCTGGAAAAACGTGGGAAAAGACCACAAACTTTTTCCCATGTTTTGTCATGTGTGATCCACATTCGTCACCAGTTATCAGTTTCTTCAAAAATACTTCGGTTTCATTACGTCGTAATAGAAAATCATAAATGTGTACATGGTTAATTAGCTTTATTTCGGTGAACCAATCCATACATATCCAGCATTTTTCAAATGCGCCAAGACTGTTTTGTGGTGAATTCCGAGTTCTTCAGCTACGTCATAACTACTGATATTTCGATTTTGCTCCACTTTTTGGCATCTATTTTATTCGTAACAAGGCATCTTTGATATCACAATTTCCGGACTGTAAACGCTTAAATCGAATCTGTGCTACTCTCACAGAAACTGCGCTCGGTTCATAAATGTCACAATTTTTTCCGCGTTTTGGGATTTTACCTTTTTTGTAATCAATATAAGTTTATATTTGTGTCGAATTTCTTGATTAGATTCACTCTTTTTGACAATAAATAAAAACAAATGAAAATCACACATGTTCCTAATTTGAATCCGGAGATATTCTTTAAAATTTTAACCGTTTGATGATACCGAAAGTAGATATATAAATGGTACAGCTAGAAAGATTTTATAACGTGTTCAAAGATATATGATGCATAAAACTTTAATAAAATCTATATCAACGGATAAGTCGGAGGCTGTCGGGCCTCGAGGCGTCGCAATCTCTATCGCCGGGGGTCGCCCTGGTCGGATGCGATCGGATCGCATCCGACCGGCGCGCGTTTAGGGCGGTTTAGCGTGACGATGGTTTCGCTCGGCAGAGGGCGCGTGGGCGGAGCGGTGCGCGCTGGGCGTGGGCGCGGGCGCGGCGGTGGGCAGCATGCTGCTGTGGGGCGGCCGCCTGTGGTGCGCCGCGCACGCCTGCATACACATACTCAACCCGCACACGCTGCAGGTATGTACGGCGCGATCCACGCTATATACGGCGTCGGCTCTGTGAACTCCGTCCGTCTCTCTACTCCGATGTCGCTCCCCAGATAGAAGAAACATTCCAAATAAGTTCGGAGTCGAAGCCGATCAGCCACATGGCGGTGAGCGGCGGCGCGGTGTGGGTGGCGCTGCACAACGCGGCGCAGCTGCGCGCCTACCGCGCCTCCTCCCGCGAGCTGCTCGCCGACATCAACCTCACGCCGCACGTCACCAGGATGCTGCACGGTCAGTCCGAGAGCAGTGAGTGGAGTAGCGTAGTGGTCTAGTTCGATCACCGGTTAAAGTGACCCGGCGGTGGCAGGTTGCGACGACATCATCCGCCAGCACAAGGCGGCGTGCCTGCGCGTGACGGCGCTGGCGGCGCAGGGCGGCGCGCTGTGGGTGGGCACGAGCGCGGGCGTGCTGCTCACCGCCCCCCTCCACCACGCGCCGCACCCGCTCACCGGCGCCTTCACCACGCCCGCCCTCACAGGTACGCGCGACGGTCGTCACAGTATTACACGGGAATTAGTTATGATGTAAACGAGGGCGCTCGACCTATATATGTATATTAATTGTACAACTCATTTCCTACTCAAGCTTTAAGTGAGCGAGATCTAAATACCGATTTATATTTTATTCATTATCATTAGTATCTATAAAAAATAGTTTAATCTTTCATTATTTCTTACATTAATATATTTAAATACGATTAATATTATATTATTAATCGTAGAGTATACAAAACGGCAGCCTTTGTTTACAAAATAGCACCGCATATCGCACTCATCCCGTGCGATAACGATGTGCACCGCATACACATCGTTATCGCACGGTTTAACTTCACTTTTCAATCTGTCTATAACTTGTAAGCGAGCACAGAGGGCTTCTATACCGAAAGGTTATTTTATCACGGACATTGAGATTAATTATTTCCGATCAACGCGCTTTCTTTAAAGGTCCGTAGTGTTGATATCGATTTAGTGACGTTCGTCGATCGTCGACTTTTGAACGCTATGTACGACAAGTTACGGGTTGTCGTTGTACTTGTGTAGAGATTTTCGAAAGCATTTGTACCATTGTTGTCTCAAATACTCCATAATACGGGGGCTTTAGCTACACATCTTGGAATCTGAGCCATGTTACAAGTTGGTGAAAAGTTACTGCAGAGAGTTATTGAAGTATGTGATCTAGGATTGGCACTTGACTCTATGCTGACTTTCATTCCGCATTTTGATAAAATACTTAAAATACCATTTAAACAGTTCGGTTTCATACTCCATATTAGTAAGCCATTTAAAAATTATGATTGTATTTTGCTCACTTAGAAATTATTGTATAATACTCGTACATGCGTTCTGTTATATATATAATATGTAAGGGTTTGTGCTGAGGAGGTTGCCCAAATCTGCTGACTGAGCAATCGTGCTGTGACGACATTGCATAGAACGGTTGGCCAGTCAGTCGCTGCGCAACCACCATCGGAATCGGTCTCGTTAAATAAATTATGTTAAGGGCTTAAAATCTTTTTTTTTAAAAGTGATTCTCAGAGTCCCTTGTAACATTGGTGGCAGCGTAAAGGGATGAAACATCCATCCCCGGTACCGTCTCCTAAGTGAATTTTAAACTGTGAATATATATCAAATTCCGTGGCGCGCTCGACTCACTATAAAGGTGGACAAAGGTGGTCCACTGAATCCTGAAAAGAAATCACTGTGTCCAGTAGAAGAAAGGTGGGAATTCCTGAAAGGAAAAATTAATTATCCTGTGAAGCCCACTGAATCCTGTAAAAGAAATCACTGTATCCAGTAGAAGAAAAGTGGAAATCCTGAAAAGAAAATCAATTATCCTGTGAAGTCCACTGAATCCTGAAAAGAAATCACTGTATCCAGTAGAAGAAAAGTGGAAATCCTGAAAAGAAAATTCAATTATCCTGTGAAATCCACTGAATCCTGAAGAGAAAATCACCGTATCCTGTAGAAGAAAGGTGGAAGTCCTGAAAAGAAAATTTCTATCAGCCTGCGAAGTCCACTGAATCCTGAAAAGAAAATCGTTGTATCCTGTAAAAGAAAACCGAATCTTGTGAAAAGTGCGAAAATCTAAGAAAATAGTGTTAAAATCTGTGAAAGTGCTTAATTCAATTCTAAAAATAGAATCATATTAGTGAATTATTCCGTGAACTATTCCGTGAAATATTCTTATCGCACAAGAATGCAATCAAGGCATCCCGTCGTCGCCGTAGCCGCAACATTGTTGCTGTAAGTCAAGTCATTGTTCCACACAGACTCTTTTGTTTTATTCTTTTATTTTTATTCTACCTTGTGTTATAATTGTTACTTTGTTGCATATTCTGTGTAATCATTTAACTCTATTTGTGAACGGAATTTTTCTTAATGCCTAAGGATAGTAAAGAGGAACCTGGGCCATCGAAAGCACCAACGCCCACTCTCACCACAATGTCACAAATAGATTTAAATATTTTAATCAAATTCATAAACAAATACGACGGAAGTAGAGAAAAAATAAATGCATTCCTTAATAATTGTCGTAACGCAATTAACCTAGCTTCCTCGTCTCAGGAAGACATTTTACTTAAATATATTCTAAGCCAATTGGAACGCCGAGCAGAGAGTGCCTGCTCAATAAAAGAATTTGAAAACTGGGACCAACTTGAAAGCTTTTTAAAATCCCAATATGGTGAACGCAAGCACTATGCTGCCCTGCTCTCTAAATTGCAAGAGTGCAGACAATTATCAGGTGAAACGGCCAACCAGTTTGCATTACGTATTGAGTCATGCCTATCGAAATTACTAACAGAAATAAATATCTCTATTCCAACAAAGAAAAAAGGTGAACTGGCCGGTCGTGTCGCTGCTATGCAAGATCTCGCTCTACATACATTTATTATCGGTCTTAATTCTCAACTTTCAACGGTAGTCAGATGTCGCGATCAAGAAACATTGAATGAGGCAATTAACTTCGCGGTTTCAGAAGAAAAGATCCTTTTAGCTACGACGCGCCGTAACCCTAACCATTTCCAAAATTATGCGCGTCCTCGTCAACAAAATAATAGGCCATTCCCGCGACAACCTAACCGTCCGTCAGATTATCTACCAAAACATTCATTCGCGTCCAGTCCTAGTTCCGTGTGCCTATATTGTAAGATTCCGGGACACAATATCGAAAATTGTCGCAAACGCGAATATAATAATAGGCGTTTCTCTCAATTTAATCAACCTATTCGTGAAAATCCTAATACATATTTTCAGAAGCGTCAGCCTATCCATGCTGTAAATTCTCATGATGACGAAGGTATCGACGAAACCGATAACAACAATTTAAACTAAATGGCTCTCTCGTCTGGTATCGTGCGGGAGAGAAGAAAACGAAAGTCGATACCACATTAGAATCACCGAATCCGATAAATTCATATCCGCGATCTAACAAACAGGGTATCCAGCCCCAAACTTCTAGGTCAGCCATTTTAAAGTCAAACATGCTGTCTAACAAACAG